ATACAAAATACAGATAATAGAAAAGGTATAAAAAGTATAAAAGGTATAATAGTATAAAATGTATAAAAGGTACAAAAAATACAAAAGGTATAAAAGGTATAAAAGGTATAAAAGGTGTAAAAGGTATAAAAGGTGTAAAAGGTATAAAAGGTATAAAGAATATAAAAGATATAAAAAGTATAAAAGATATAAAAGGTATATTTCTAATTATCTAACCAACTATTGGTCTATTCCTTATGTATTATAGCTCAGTATGATCGTAGAGATCTTCTGGGTCTTGTAGAGATATTCAATTCGTTCTATAACAGTAGCTAGACATTGTATAATCTAAATGGTATGATATTAAATTCATATATACTATAATAAGTAATAAAGACAGTCTTTTCTCAATTTTGTAGTTCTATAGCAACTTGCCAATATCTACTTGCAAGATCTAAAGTGGAGAACTAAGATAATTTTGCTAAAGCATTTAGCATTTCATCTATTCGAGACAAGAGATATATATTCTTTTTTGTAATAGCATTTAGTTTTCTATAGTCTACACAGAATCATAATTTGCTATTTTTCTTTCATACAAGAACAACAGGTAATATCCAAGAGCTGTTGGAGAGTTGTATCAACTTGTTGTTTATCATTCATTACAATTTTTCTTTTACAAACATCTATTTGCTTAGAGGAATTGAATAAATGCAAAATCAAATAAAGATACATTTTTAGTATAAATCCTATGAGTAACTAGATTAGTATATCCTAACTCAGTTATATTAGTTGCAAATAAATCTGCAAACTCTTCTAGTAAGTATCTAAATATTTGTCCTTGTTCTGAAGTAAGTGGTCCAATATTTAAAAAGAGGTTGTCTATTGAATTCTTCATAAGGATGAAAGATATTAATTGTATAAATTGGCAAGATATAAATATTATAGTCTGGTTCTGAATATCTGAGTCATTAAGTAGTTTTCTATCCTGCCTAGGATTTACTAAAAATTTTGAGGCTGTGCTAATAAGGTAAGAGTTTCAAATTGATGTTAGAAGTGTTAGTTATTTTCTTGCAGAAGTTGTATCTACTAGGTATTTTTATTCTTAAGGTAGTCTATATGATTTTGTAGTTGCTAGATAAGTTGAATCTGGCTGTCCAACTGTTGTTGCATCTTAGACATCATGACAGTGAGGGATATAATTTTTTCTGGTTCTAGTTTCACTATCAGAGGTATAAAGAGAATTGGTATAGAAGTATATTCATTACAGTGTTCTTGATTATGGTCTAATTTTCCTGATGCTTCATATGCAAGCATTCTTTACAGAGGTCTACTAGGTAGGTAAAACTTCTACATATTTGAGCAAGAGCATACTCCTGGTTGAAGTCTGAATAGCTAGTATTAAAAAAATCTTGGATAGCTTGCTCTAGTCTTGGATAGTCATCATTATTAATTAATAGTCCTTGTTCTGTATATAGAACTAGAATTATATTTTCATCAGTTTACTCATTGTTAATTTGGTCATTAACTTGAAGTTCTAGAGCTTTGTTGATAGTCTGGTTATTTTGATGAAGGTGGATAGTAGCTAGTCAAAAGATATGAGTCTGGTTTAACTTAAATTGGTATTCAGCATTCTTGATAAACTCAGTGTAGTATCTAATATGAATCTACAAGTTATAGTTAGGGTTATAAAAAATATCTTGGCTAGCTTTATAGATATATAAATATACAAGATCACAAAACCAAAGTTTAGCTTGAAAACTATCTAATCGATATATCTTGAAATGTAGTTTTGACTTTTGGCAGATTTGGTATTTAACAAGAAGTTCACAACCTTCATCTTTAGTATAGAAGGTAATACTTCTTGGGTTATTTTAGTTTAACTCATAGTAAAAGTTTATATAATATTTATGACAAAACATCTGAATATCCATGCTTTAGAGATTCTCAGATCTGCAGAAATTGAAATATTTGCAACAGTGGTATATATGTTGAGGGCTGTGATGAGGAAGTTGTCTAGTTTTTACCTTAACTCTGTTTTATCCACACTGATAAAGAAAGTTCTGTTTCTGAATTACAACTTGAGAACAATCAATAGCTATATATCCTTGTTTACTATATTCACAACAAAGATTCTAAAAGCAATATTTATAGAGATAGTCTTCTTGGTTGCAGGTTTGGCAAGTGGTTCATCTAGGTGCTTGTTGTGAACAATAAAGTATAATATGTCCTAGTTATTGACATCAGTTGCACTAGTTGGTTGGGCAATTGGCAAAGAGATAGTCTAAAGATTCACAGTTTTTCCAGACATATGCTTTAAATAATTTATGTTTGCATCTGGATCAGACAACTGTCTATTTTTTAAGATCTTCTAGTAGTGTCTTATTATTACTAGTTGGGATTATTTTCATAGCAAAAGCTTTGTAAGAGGTAAGATACTTCTGTTTATATAAATCAAGCTTTGTCAAGTTAGTGATAGTAGGTTGAGCAGAGAGAGGTTGATATATCTTATAAAAATATAAACTAAATACTTTCTATTCTTTCACTTTAAAGAATAGCATCCACTTTTTCAATTATAATTGGCTTCAATTTTCTGAGACCAATCATTATCAAGAAAAAGAGAGTAGAAGGTAATATCAACTACTTCAACATCTATCTCTTAATATGTAGACCAATACAGACAAATTTGTCTGTGTTTTTGCACTTTTTTAGCACTGATTTACTTTTTTAAATACTAAAATATTCCAATAAAACTTTGCACAATTATATTTGAAAATAAGGATTACTTTTTTGCAAAATTAGTTTTTATAATATGAAAAAAAAGTTTAAGTTGCTTATAAGCTAAAAAATAGACAAATTTAGAAAAATTTTTTAATCAAAAAAATTATTTACAAATTCTTGACAAACTCTTTAAATATTAATTTTAAATATATA